TGTGTGTGTGTGTGTGTGTGGACAGGGGGTGGTGCGGGGAGGCGAGATAAATTGTGCTGATAAAAAAGGATTGTAAAAACTATTCCTCACCTTCATCGACACAATGTCGATTATTTAGGATGCGAGGTGCTTCCACCCTGACCTTAAGGTTATAAAGCATCCATGCACAAAGGCTTAGATAATCGATAAAATCGACATTAACTCTCAATAATCAATGTCACGTCTCCTGCATGCAACGGTGAAGAGCATAACCATTGCACCCTAGAGGCCAGTTTTCTGTTTAGTACTCCGAACCAAACAGTAACATTAGATTGATGAAACAACTCGTCGATACCAACTCTTACCGTGCAGCCAATTTGGGTTAACACTAATTTTCAGATAAAGTGGAGTTGTGAGCGCTGTAAAACTCTTACCACAAAATAAACGGGGGAAAATAAAAAGTAGTGAAAATGTGATTTATTTCTTCTTATCTACTGCAGTTGCTCATAATAATGATATTGTGTAGAGTATCCGTCGGTTGGTTGATAGGTTTTTGTTCAACCATCATCTGTTATATCGGGTAAAATGTTTAGTAGTGGTCTTTTGCTTCTAGGAGGTTCCCCTTTCGGGAAGTTCAGGAGCGAAGACCTCAGCCTACAACGGATCGCATAGCTCAAGCATCTCCATTTTTCTGCAGGGATAATAATATGTCTCCTACAATCTCGATGTTTTTTATGCAAACGGTCCAAACACCCTTCCTCCTGCGGGATATGCATTGGCGAAATCGGGACAAAAAAGAAACAATCAGAAGCTGTAAACTCTTGTTGTTGTTGTTGCTTTTGGTGATAATGGTGGTAGTGGTGCTGGTGATGATGGTGCTGGCATCTCTTCGGGGAGGATTCAGGGAGGTTGGACTGCCTCACCCGCTACCCAAGGGAGGTGGTGGCCCTGGCGAAGAGCACACTCTTCGGGGCTCCGAACATTTCGAACGGATAGGCTACCACACACACACACACAACAACAACAACAACAAACAAACAAACAACAACAGCAACAACAACAAACAACGATGACGAAGACGACAACAACAAAAACAATAACAGCAATAAATATTTACAACTATAGACCAAAAAGTATCAATGCTGGACTGCAGAATTACCTGGGTCAACAGGCAAGGTAAGGTGCCTCTTACCCGCAACTAACTTGCCCGCGGGGCCACCCTGGGCACGAAGGAGCACCCACATATTCCGAAATGGGACCCAAGAACTTATAGGGAGGCCCGTTTGCTGTGGGAAATGCTTTAAATAAAAAATTAAGGCCAATCTAAAGATTGTATCATTAGCTGAAATTATGGGGTCTGGAGAAGCACTTTCAATTTACACTGAAGTGTTCAAGGACATAATCAAATTACTACGATGACAAGTCCTGAGCAGGCTGCAAACAAAAACCTTTTTCCGAATGATGACGTGGCAGTTGGACAGACGAACAGACCTGTCTCAAAAGACAAGGAGGGTTTTCTGTCACAAAACAAACTTACACACCAATGAAACCAAACTTCTCCTATAGCTAAGGCAATGCCCACTTTTGGTGTAGGTCAAGATTTCTGGAAACCCCGGGCCATCCCGCTTGTCCTTAAAAGCGACCATTGGTTTGTTGGAGTTTTTTTTTAGTTGTTTTTTTTTTTATTTGGTGATAAAATAAATAATGATAGTCAAATTACATATGATGATAATGATGACAAGAAGAAAAAGAAGAAGAAGAAGAAGAAGAAGAAGAAGA